AAAAAAAAAAAAAAAAAAAAAAGAAAGAAGCAAATTTAGTGGAAAATCGTCTTACTTTTTGAGGAGTATATCCGTTCACCCGAATTGTTACTTGACGCATTTCGTCCGTTCGTCGTGCTACAGAAAGCGCCGTTACGACCGGTAGCAAACATATCCATATTAACCAATGAATAACTAACATCTACGTTTGAGTTAGAAGGAAAAAAGTAAACCCTTAACAAATTCTGTTTTTACACAATTTTTACAATAATTCTTACCTTTCAAGAGCTATTCGTAAAAAATCAGTTTTAGACGACAGTATTTGACCAAAGTGTTACCGATTTTAGTAACGACAGTAACTGGTAAACATATATAAAATGAATTACAGAGTATCAGTTAAGCGTTCAAAAAAAAAAAAGGAATACATAAACAGGCAAACAACTTTTTTAAACAAAAACAACAACAACACTGTATTCTTTCTTTTCTTGATATTTGCTAATCAGACAGTAAACGAGTTCAAACGGTCAGAACATGAACTAAACAGTGAGTTAAACTAAAATCAATCGCAATTTTGCCATTCCGATGACCCATTGTAAAATGGCCTGTTGTTGTTATTCGATTGGCAGGCACCTTGCAACAAGGAGTCTTTTAAAAATCAAGCACGGGTCAAATAGCTCAAAGAAACCATTTGCCCATCTCTACAAACCGTCTTCTGTGTACCTGATGCAGCAAAATTTGTTCAGTTAGGGTGCTTGAAACCGTTTAATGCCCCCTAACAACTGAAGGCGTTTTTCTCAAAGACTGTTTAAGCATAAAATGTTTTTCAAACAATCAAATCCATAACAGTTGATATTTGATAAAAACAATCATATTGAGATAGCGCAAAACAATATTAACGCACTTTTGCAAAACGGTTTATTTCGAGAATGTCGCAAAAAAGAAAAAAAAAACAATTACGTCAGCAATGGACAGAAAAATTTTGCAAAAAAATTAGTTTGATCATAAATTTTTTTTTTACTTTCTTCAAGATTTGCCATCTAAACATCAATGAAGTGTAATTTTTTTCATTGATCTTTACTGTAATATCATTCATCACCTAGTAGCACCTATAATATCCAGTAAACAGTGCAGTCAACTTTTTTTTTTTAATCATAACATTGTTGCCGATTAATTTTTTTTTAAGGGAATGTAAGGGAATAATTTCGATTTTTGTTACTGACTGCGATACATAAGCAAAAACTTAGAGGTAGCCATCGAGAAGCAGCAAATTGTTCACTAATTAAGAACAGATAAAAACATCAGATAAACAAATAGAAAAAAAAAAGAAGGAAATAAAGAAGAGGAAAAAATAACAATAATAATAAAGCCGGTTAGTATAAATAATTGCATAATGTGTTAGTGATCGAGGAAAAACAGAAATCAACATATTGGTTAGATATTATGCGTATATAAATACATATCTTACACCGATATATGAATGATGATGACACACACACACACTCAAACAAACCAACAGACAATCAAACATTCACACACACACACACACACACACACCCAACATACTCGTACCATATAAATAATCAATTGTTGAGCGTAGAACATAAATGGAAACGAGACCAACAGCAGCAGCAACAGCAGTAACAGCTGCAAAAGCAGTAGAAGCAGCATCAGCCTCTGGAGCCTAAGCAAATACAATAAACAACAACAAACTACTGAGCAGCAACAGCATAGAGTTATTACGACCTAATCATTATCAACTATTGTCGTTGTTGTCGTCGTCTTAGTTGCCGCTACAATTGTTTTGTTATTTGTCAAGCAATTTGTAGCTTCGATTAGTTAAAAATTTTTGATGATTTAGATGGATCATCAGCAGTTACAACATCATTCAATCATCGCCATTGCTGTCCTTTTTAAGTTCTACCCATTCCTGAATTATCTACCAATTTTTTGGCTACTCATCATCAATCCATTTATTCACCTGTTCTATTTTATCTATCTAAATCATCCATTTCTAACTATACAAAAACAGATTTTGTTTATAATTTTTACTATTGATAAAACAGTTTACACAACTATCATTCAGTGAAGCAGAAAAAGAAAAAAAAAAAGAGCATTTGAAAAAAAATTTTAAGAGTGGATAGAATATTGGTTTTTGCTAGTTTATTGATACTGCTCTCAATACCACTGTTACTGCTGTTGCTGTTGCTATTGCTATTACTATTGCTAAAGTTGGCTCAGATACCAACCAATTAATACTGCTAATGGGGCAAAACTGCTTGCTTTTTGCTGCTGTTGCGTTGTATGGAAATTAGGAAATGCAAACGAGTTGGATTGGAAGGATAAGAACATAACAGACAAAACAAAAAAAAAAAATGACGAATAAAGAAAATCGGCTTAAGTTTATTTATTCGTCATTTGTTTTTTTTCCTCCCTTTTTTCACTCTTACTTTTTCTCCTTGTTTTGCAGAAATTTTGAAGTGATTATCGTTGAAAAATGAGAATATAAAAATAAAACCAGAAATTTTCTTTTTTTTGCCACAAAATAAGCTGGAAAACAAAAACAAAAAAAAAAAAATAATGAGGAAAAGTGGATGATTACTTTGGTTAATGTTTTTTTTTTTTTGTTTTGTTTTCTTGGCCTTCTCTCCAGATCTGTTCATCCATGACAAATGATCAATGCCATTTTTTCTTCTGCTTAATGCAATGATAACACAGTCAGCAAAAAAAAAAAAAAAAACATTATAAATGGTTCTTCTTTTCATTCTCTTCTTCTTTACTTCTTTCCGTCCGCCATTCGAGTTCTACAAATTTAGTGATGATAAGAAACGGAAAGATGAAAATTTTAATTGCTTTCTTAACGCTAAAAAGCTTTTCCACCCCTGAACAGTTAATGTTTCCCGATCATCAACCATTCATATCGATAACTGG